ACATTCTATTTTGAAAGACTATTGAGCATTTTAAATGGTCAGGTAAGAAAAAAACAAAATTAAGGCTAGCTCAGTTCTCTTGCAGGTAAAGATTTGTGAACCCACAGCGGAAGTTAACTGCAGTTAAATTTGTATAGCTTGACCATTTACAATTGATAGTTTTTTTTCTAATGCAGCATATTACTAAAGCATTGCAACTTTCTCCTAAGCTGGCTTTATGGACAAAGTACCTTCATGACCAAGAAGAAAAAAACTTTAAGTTTTGAGTTTGTGCTTACTTGCAGGGTGCACAAGACGTATAATTTTGTTTCTTCTCATTTTGCTTAAGAAACCACATGAAAACACACATATTGAGAGTGATCATGGCCCCAATATAAAATGCAATCCTGGCAACAGAGTTAGAAAATTCAAAGAATGCGTATTTGTAGTTAGCCACTCTGCTCCCCAAAGAAGCAGATATACCTGTTCTTTGATCTCTTGCAGTTTTCGGCTCTGCTCTCTGATATCATGAAGTAGCTGTAGTGCCTTATCGTCTTCCTGAGACACCTCCATCCGTGCCTGCTCCAGGCTTCGCTTTAAGCTCTGCAGAAAGCAAAGTGTTCAATACACAGAGTCTTTGGCTTTGCAGATGGCTGCACAATAAAGATCTTTAGCTATGGGAACTCCTCCTTGAATATTTTAAGGCATCATACATTGAGACACCCGTGGTGAAAGCCTGAAAAATTCATGGGGAGTGCTTCTTCCACCTGGACAGAAGCAGTCCATTCTACAAACCACCATCTACTATACTGAGATCTTAGTTCAAATCTCTACCTCCTCACCTCAAGTTTGGAGACTAAAACCAAACACAGATGACAAAAAAAAAATCCATTATTGACAGCATTTATCTATCTTTTTCTAGCACAATTAATTCACAACCTAGACACCACAATCCTTCAACTTCACGTAACTAAGACTCCTGTTCATTTTTATTGTTGCTGTTCAAGTGAGTTAAATCCTTTCATCATTTTTAAACTTTCAAAAAGGGTGGAAGAACTGCTTCAGGATCTCACCACATACTTCATCTGCACATTTCAAGACAGACTGGTAGTCCTTCTACCGATTGACAATTGTATATCATTCTTCTCCAGAAAGTTACAAAGTCAGTTTACTTATTTACTTAGTAGAATCTGCTATGGGAAAAATCACTCAGCCCGGTTTAAAGATATATCTCCTAACACACATACCCAGCACAAATGCTTCTCAATTCTCTGAAACAGAATAGTATCTGGATTTTTGTTCTTGGTAGGAGAGAGGAAACAGAATAATTTACGCAACTGCAAATACAGAGACTATTAGCTAGAATGAAAATGCCCTCACCGGAATCTTGCCAAGACAACTGGGCAAACATTCCTACTCCCTGAAAAAGTGCTAAATGACCTGTAAAGACATGGTTTTAAGGCCACTTTTTTATATTCTATCTGAAAAACAGCAGCTGTCCTAGCATCATCCCTGCCATTACGCTGGAGAACTGGATCAGTCTGAACTCAGAATACTACAGATTGAGGCAACAGCATTGTTTCAACCTTACTTGACTTGAAGATTTCCCTCTAGCTACTGATTAGGCCCCATCTGGCCCCCATTAGGCCTCCTCTGGCTAAGAAACTTGGAAGAAGCCAAGCCCAAGCACGTTCTAGCACAGTTGGTAGGACAAGAATTGCAGATGACTTCAGCAAGACCAGAATAGTAGTTATACCTATATGATGTTCTAAGCATACAGCACTGAAACAAAGTTGAAATAAAACTATCAAACAAGCCTTTACAGTTCTCTGTAAACAATTTAGTGCTCCATTTTCAACAGATGTTCTCTCATATATTTTCTCCATCAAGTACCCCATTGAAACTGTGATGGAAGAGAAAGCCAAAGATCACCAGATTTCAGGCCTTCAGAGGAAAAGGGACTAGTGTAAAGGCTCACACTGCATTCTGTGATATAGGTAGCCAGGTCCTGCTCCAGGAGGGATCGCTGGGTCTCAGAGGCTTTCAGTTCCACCTCCTTTTGGCTAAGTACAGCCTCCACCTCTGACACTCTCCGGTGCAACCGCGTCATTTCCTGCTCCATCTGCAATAAATATCAAAAGGTTATAAAGGGGGCTTCAAAAGGCCTTGTTAACTGCTACATTCAGACCTCTGTGAGGAATTTGTCTCCGAGAGACTCCTAGCTATATTTTTCCAAATGGTGTTTAAATTCCGATACCATTGTCTCTGCTCCAGGAATGCACAGTTCTTCTCAAGGACAAGTAGTAAGTCTAAGTCACCCCATTCATTCAAGCTGCTTGTTCAGTCATTCTTCGAACCCCAGTTAGCAAAGAAGCCACAATCATTTTTCACCTGATTTGCGGAGATGGGTCACTTTAACCTTATCCCAAATCCATGTTGCACCAGAAGATGGTTCCCCCCCATCTCCTTGCCAGGAGCAAATGATCAAATCCAGAACAGAGAAGGGAGAAAAGTAATTGAACTCTCATAAAAGTCTCAAACAAGCAGTGAGTTTTAAAAGACTCCACTGGGTTCTCTTTATTCGAGCACAGCAACTGTTATAAGATGTTCACCATAACCAGTGATGTGACAACAGTTACATAAGTAGAAGCTGATGAATTGAGAAGAGACTCTCAGAACAGAATTGCTGTAATTGTGCGACTGATGAAGAGGAGGCACAGCCTGCAGGAAGAAGCGGTCGTCTGTGTCATGCTTAGAAAAGGACTGTTTAAAATCCAGAGCCACTTCTTGTTAAGATAAAAGTATCTAGAGCAACAGCATGGCCTAAATTCATCTCCCTTTGTACTGGACAGGAAGCCACCTCACTGAAGAAAAAGCACTTTGCCCACCACGAATCTGGATGATCAGCAGCATCTGACAGATTCCTTGACATACAGTGGTTGTAGATTCCTGGTGCAATGAAGATGGCCAATCGCATAAATAAATACCTTGTGACACTTGTCCTGGGCGTCTTGGAGTTCTTTGCTCTTGAGAAGAAGTTTCTTTTCCATGGAGCTGACCTTGGCTGGAGAGTCCAAACTTGAAAAAACAGATCTAAAAGAGTAAAGCCAAACAGAACATAAATATAGGCAAAAGGTACAGAAATCAGTGCTTATGCAGCCTTGGTAAAGTCACTGGGCACTTGTGCTAGGATAAAAGAAAGGTGCAGCAACCACAGTCTAACAGGTATCATATCAGACCAAACATACTATAAAACCTGGTGACACCATGTCATTATTAAATAATACATAAGCACTTCTAGTTAAAATATTAATATTTTCCATCAATGATTTTTATGTCAGAGTACAAAACAATAAAGCACAGGAACATTTTTGCATAACTCTTGTACAGATTTATAAGTGTAACAAAAACAAAGCATAAAGTCATTTTAACCATTTGGAAAGATAACAAGTTTTCAGAGAAATGCTTATTTACTGTACCTTACTGTTAAATAGATTTTTAAAACTATAATCAAAGTACAAAAGCACCAAAAATTGCAACATGTAATAATCTGCACTGCAGGAAGAAGAATGTCATTTCCTTAGTTACCTTCTGTGATTCAAAATTGAACTGAAACTTTCCCAACCCAACTCAGATGATCCCACCAGCTCCATCAACATCAATATGATTAGTCACATTGCAGAACTTCAGAGTTGCACTTTCAAGTTGTATCTCATGAAAAAATTACTTAACTGTACTATCCAATACAGCTTGATTCCAGAAAAATTGAGGAAAATATTTACATCTTCTTAAGCTTTCTGTCTAACTGGGCCTCTACATTTAAAAAGTTTACCATATCTCTGTTAGTCAAAATTCATTCTAAAAAAGGACGAGAAGCCACTCAATGTTTTGGACCATATTTTTAGTGTTTTGCAGTCTTAAATATGTAATCTTCAACCAACAAAATTAAGTACGTGCCTCAAAATATAATTTTAAAAATCACATTCTCCCTCGCATAAAATAATTCAAACTAGATATTTAAGCAGTTAATGATGGAACCAGTGTTAACTGATAGTTGAAAATGCATAAGTACAATGAAGGTGCTAATAAAAGATCATGCAGTCTGCCCACACATTGCTTTCTGATTCTCCTGGCCACAGTTTGGTATGCAGCCAGTTATCCCCATGGAGAGAAATGAGCTTTGAGCAGCTCTTTGCATATAGCCATACACCCACACGCAGCAGCGCAGTCTCTTCTTAACACCAAGGAAAGTTTGATTCCATCACCACCATTTTCTGGGAAAAATTTACTCCTAAATCCAAATACATATGCAAGACAGTCACACACACACAAAAAAGGATTTTTATGAAATGGCTGCAGCAACATATATGTATCAAAACAGATCTTAAGTACCACCACCTTAGGTGACCATCAGGAAACACAGTTTTGATGTTAACACACGAGCATAGCAAAAATCCACCAATTCTGCCTTGAAAGGTTTATTAATCATTTTTTGAGAAACCTGACGTGCAAAAACTTAGAAAAATGAATCCTGCGCTTCAAAGATCCAGATATGATCAGGACTTAATAAAAAACAAATCTTAAAAGTGAATGCTTTTGTTAAGCATTCCTCTATTTCTGGTCCAATCAATCCAGTCCATCAGATTATCATATTTAAAAATCAATTTATAAAGCATGACTGTACTCCTACAGAGAAAAGGCAACCATCTGAGAAAGATGCATATTAAATCCCATAACAGCTGGGTGTACAAACAAGGCTAAAAATGAATAGTTGAGAAAAGCTGTCTAAAAATACAAATTAAAGCTCACATTAACTAAAAAAGACACTAAGGAATCTGCTTAAAAATGTAATTCAAATATATGTAAATAGCTGCAAATGTGTACTGATAAGTCTGAAAATCTTTTGGTATTAAATAGTTAGCTTTACAGAACTGCATTGAATTGGCTACAGCGATTTTTTAGAAGAATTATAGTTTCATAATAATTCACATTTTTTTTATTCTGTTCAAATCTGAGGCATTGCCAAAGAAAATTCTAGCTAGTTCTTATCAAACTGGTTTTATTTCCTGCTTCTATTTCACCTCCCTAAAGGGGTCCACTTTTTTTTTTTTTAATTTTGCTTATCTATTTTATTTGCTATTAAAAGAATCAGAGCATAATACCGCAGGCACCATTTTGCAATTCAAGGATCTCTCCTGGGAAGGCAGCTGAACCATCCCCATGCACTGCAACACAGGACTGAGGCAAGCAGCCGCCCGGCTCAGCAAAGACGCATCGCTCGGGCAGGAGGGACAGGATGGGACCGTGCAAGAGCCTCGCGCTGACCAAAGTTTGAATTTCATCAGCCGACTCTAGAGGGAGCTGCTCCTCAGGGCTGGTGCCAGTTTTGAAAGGAAAGAGAAGGATACAAACTACAATTAGTCTTTCTTGCTCAGCCCTGTTCGAAAGCCAGGAAGAAATACCTTAAAGATGTATGTCTTAGTGCCGTGACCTTCTTGTCACCATGGAAGCAGTACATCTTATGCCCAAACAAAGCTGATGTCAGCTTGCACTGGACACACGTTTTAAGTGGCATCCTTTCCCACCAATTCTTTCCTCTGTACAAATTCTATTAGAACATCTTCATGAACATCCCTACCAACCTTCCAGCTATCAGAAAGGGGGCAGAGAGGACATCAACAGAAATGAGATACCGACTAATCTACTAAGTCTTGTCATGGTGGTACAAGCTCCCAAGAGGCTGTGACAGGTGGAAAATACCCACGTTGCTGGGGCACTGTTATTTTCATCCTCAGTCAGCGTCACCTCAGAAGTTAAACAAACAACCTAACATCCAAAGCTATGCTGCAAAGCTATCGTTCAGGTTGGTAGCATCTCCAAACGTTTCAGTTAGTTAACTGCTACATCTGGGTCGACTCTCGTAGCACAATGGGGCAGTTTCTGCTATTTCTGAAGCGTGGGGGGGGGGATGGAAATCAATAAAAGGTAACTAATATACATCAGCAATAAAGGCAACAAAAGATGAAAAAAACCCAAAGTGAAAGTCAAGTCTATGGTATACCAAGTACTGACAGCACTAGCTGTGCCAATTTATTTTCGAGAGAAGCAGTGCCTGCATGACTAATAAACAAGTTAAACTTATAGCTGGTTATTTAGTGATTTCACAGCTATTTCAAGGCAACAGCCTCATCCAGCGGAACTATCACGGTGCTAGTTGTGTAAAAAGCCCTTCCAGTCTTAACATTATTGAGGAGAAGAAAAAAGAAAAAATCAGTATAGGAGAAACTACAGGACGATGCTGAGGTATGGTACTCGCAGCTTAGCCTCGCTTGTGCATCACACCCCTTCCCTTCTTTCCTTCTTTGTCCTTTTCCGCCACTCTCAGAAACCCCCAACTCACCTGCGCTTCTTCCTTCTCCTAGTGATCGACACCATCTGTCCTAATCCTGGCCCCCTCACAACATGCCTATAATCTCATCCCCCATCCCTCATGCTCTATTCTTTTTAGCATTATACTCATCTGTACCTTCCGCCCCCTCGTAAATGCTTGCTCAGGCCTAAAAAAAACCATCCCAAAACAAACAGTGATACCAACAATCTGTGAATAGAGCTAGCTGAAGCAAAGCATATTTTTGGTACACTTGTCCTCTGTTTCCTCTTTAATCTATCTTTGGTGAAAGAGCTTACCAGAACCCTACAAATTGTTGGACTAAATCAGTAGTTTTAACTTTTTTTTTTGGAATGTCTGGGGTTTTTTTTGAATGTCTCGTTTTAACTCAGGATTTCATAATGACCATCATGAACCCACATCAAATTTTCATTTCAAAAACCTGAAAAATACCACTTTTCAGTTTCCCCCCCTCCCCCCCCAAAAAAAAGACTTTGACTACTTACCGTAGCCTTAGAGACCACAATTCAAGAACTACTAGACTTAAATTTATTATACTCTGGAAGATAATTGTAAAAAATAAAAACCCACATAGCAACTGAGATAAGGTACTGGCCCCACTGCCAACCTTGCACATGAGGAATACATCTATAGATTATGGTTTAGCGTGTATTTTTTATTAACCTACTTTTTGTTCCATAGCTAATCAGGCCCTTTCAGCTCCTTTCTCTAGTCCAAGTGAGGGGAAAAACAGGCAAAAATTTACATCACAAATCATTTTTTTTATCTGGCATTTGTCTTATGCCTTTGGACTTCTGCTAGTCACCTGCAAGGGTCAAGAATAATTTTCTTTCACCACTTGATGCATAATTCTGGCATCAAAGGATTTTTCTCACTTCTTTTAAGCACTGGAGATCAGCCACAGTTAAGGGCAGGAAGTAAGGTGGGGCTGGCTTTTAATGGAATTAAACTCTCCATTGCCTGTTATCTTGTCACACTCTTACGCTCAGGGCCAAACCAGCAGCCAGATTTGCAGTCAGGAAGGTATTTCTCCCCCAAGTCAAGAACTGAGAGGCCATTGTGGGAGGAGGAGTTGGTTCTTCTCTGCAGCATGATCCCACTTCCTAGAATCATATAGGCAATTTATTTAACAAACATTCTGCTAGTACAGGAAGCTATGACATAAGCAATGCCGTTGATTTCTCCTGATTGCTTCCTACGATACATTATTGTCATGCCTTTGCTCTTTTGTTAGAGCATAAATTTGCTATAGGGCCACAAATTCTTCCCAAAACTCATGGTATGTGACAACGTCTAGAACACTCACTCTATGGGCCCTTCTATACTACATACCTACTATATAATTTCTGGTGACTGGTCTAAATGACTTAGGTGAACTCTTCAAATCCTAAGAGGTTAGGAGAAAGAGGAGAATGAAAAAAAGGAGAACTTATTTTGCCGTCCTTCTAT